TTCCTTGAGAACTAGGAGGTGCCATCCGATGGGGCCCTGTCCCCCCGCCCCCTCCCCAGCCCCCGGGTCCTCCATCCCTTCTCATCCCTCCCCTGTTTAGAGGGAAGGGTCCCCTGCTGGACCCCTAGGCTGGAGGAAAAGCTGCCCGGAGGTGGCGTGAAGGGCGCCGCTGAGGACAAGTGGACGGACGGCCCGTGGGGGCGCGCGGCGGGGTGGGACGGACCCCCAGGAGGAGCGGGGCCACTGAGCCGAGTGGACCGCTGGCCGGCCAGCTCGGGCGGCGACTGCCTTGAGCAGCGTCGCAGTCAGAATGGACGTGCTCCAGGCGCCCTCTATGGTCCGAAAGCAGAACGGGGCCCTGACGGGCGCGGATCCCGCTGCGGGGCGAGGCGCACATATGCGGGTGCTGGGCCTCGGGGCTCCGTGGGCGCGAGGCTGGAGCTGCGGTGGCGAGGCCTGCTCTCCGCTCTAGGGGCCAGCACTTGTTGTTTGCACGTGCGAGAGATTTATTTGGGGGCGGGGCTGTGTGTGGGACCTGCCGGGTAGGCTGCTGGCGTTTCCGGGAAAGGAACCGGCACTGGGCCGCATGACCGGAGTTTTCATTGTTCAGGGTGGGACTTGCTAAATTAGAAAGGAGTCCCTCATCTGTCCTCCACGCTAAGGCTTCGTGGATCATCACAGCCCAGAGCTTCCCATTCCAGAAATCTGTGACTGGGGCCTCAGAACCCACTCTGACCACTGGGGCCAAATCTTTGGCAAGACTGAGCCTCTGGAAAGACCCCCAACCAGCCCAGTCCTGGGCCTCCGATGAGGAAACGCGTCCTCAGACTCACAGACATGCAATTCGGGCATCCAAAATGTGCTGGGACACCCCTTCCTGGTGACTGCTGGAAGCAGCAGGTGGGGTTCATGTGGACCCTAGAGTTCCTGCCCCTTTCCTGGCTCAGCTGTTTTGTTTCCCCACATCCAATGGGACAGTCACGCAGGCCTCTGCTGCCGGCACACTCCATATTTCCACCCCTTTTCTTTCGTCTGTGCGAGACATTTGGGACCCGTATTCCATGCTGGGTGGCTGGGCCAGCATGTGCTCACCAGTGGGCCAGAGGTCAGGCCACAGAACTCAGTGGCCTAGAAGTCCGCAGGTTCTACAGTCCCTCCTGAGAACCAAGCCTCCCATGTAAAGACAGCAGATCACCAGCCCCAGCGTTACTTTTCTCCAGTGAAAAGCTAGAAATGAATTTTTAATTGAGTGTTGCAGAGCAATTTTGTCCTTTGTGTGCTATTTGTTTACATTTTTCTTGGCCACCACAGACACCTACGTGTGTGCAGGGCCCTACAAAGCACCCTGTGTGCCCAGTTTTTTTTCAGCGTTTGGAAAAACTGGGAGCAGACATAAAAAATGCAGAAAATTCCTTTGCTTCTAACCAAAGCCCTGGAAGTTCTGGAGGAACTTTATTCTTCAGCAAAGGTGCTCTCTAACCCCAACTACCCCAGGAACAGTTTCAGAGGATGCCAGCAGCTCAGTGACCAGCAGGGAAGAGACTGATCCCTAAAAGGGGTAAGAGTGAGGGTTGTCCACAGGATTAATGTTGGTAACATAGGGCTCTCCTTCCGCCATGGGGAACAGGTTTCCTACAGAAAGGACATCCTGTGTGTGTCTAGAACAGAACATTTCTGTTTTTATTGAGCCTTTTTTGAAAGAGTGTTTAGAAAGCGATTTGGTCCAGGGACCTTCTCTCTGTGCTCCAGCCCCACCCAGCCCACAGTGACAGGGAGAGCATGGGAGGTGCACCGTCCTATGTTACCATCCCCCACCCCTGCTGATCCTGAGGACTGGGAGAGTAGGGTGCAGCCCCTCCCCAATGGTTGACCTGCAGAGTCTCTGAAATCTTCCCGCTCCCACCATCCCGCCCTCCCTCCCAGATCAATTATATTCACCAGCACATTTATCTCGCCTGCAATATGGGGAATTCATATTCATATCTCGGTTTTAGTGGTCTGACACTGATTAATGAAATAGGCGCCTTGGCTCCGAGGGGCGCGCCACCCGATGAATCATGCCTTATAAAGTTTCAGTCGTCCTTGTGGATGGGACTCGTCCAGAAAGTGGGGAAGCCAGAAAGGAAGGCAGGCAGAGAGGAGAGAGAGGACAGAGCAGGCCACGGCACCCAGCAGTGCCCTGGGGTGGGCGCTGGCCCTCAGCCCTCTCACCACAGCTGGAGACGTTAGTGCCAGTCCTTCCTGGCTGTGCACCTTCCTTCCTTTCCTCATGCTGCCAGGGGGCGGGAGGCTGCCTGGTCGCCCAGTTGCAGGGTAGGCATTGGGGATGGTCTTGTAGGTAGAAACATGGTTTTGTGGACACCGATTTGGGGAGATTGGAACCGGGAATGTGCTCCCGAAAGCTACAGGGCCCAGTTTACCGGTGGGGACTGCAAGTTGGAGGTTGAAAAGGAGGGGAGGAAGCCTAGTGGGCAGCCATGGACTGGTGGGGTACGCCAGAGCTAGGGACTTGCAAGACCAGATGGGTCTCCCACCTATGCAACTTGGGCCACTTCGCAGGGTCGACCACTAAGACAGGAGACAGCCAGGCTTTGGGGCCTCTGGGGAATGCAGGGGAGGCTTTGGGTACCGGACACTGAGCATGCCGCTGGTGACCCCGCAACCTGTCTGGCTCCGTAGAGGTAGAGAGTCCTGCCATCTGGCTGGCCCGGACAGGAGGATGTGGCTTCAGGTGGGGAGGACATGTAGGAAGGGGGCCACCTGGGGCCGCGAATCCAGGACAGGTCCCGGGACACAGAGTGGATGCAGGGTGGCGGGGGGCACGCCCTGGAGGTGGCGACAAGGCCAACCGCCTGGAAGGGTCCCATGAGCCCAAGTGGATGGGTTTGGAGGATACAGAGAAAAGCGGATGGAGTGGGCCCCGCCCCCCCAATGGAGAAACTTTCTCTGGGCTATGGCTGCCACCCTGGGGTGTCAGTTGAATTACCTCCAAGTAACAAACAAACAACAACAGCAAAAAAAAAAAAAAAAAAAAAAAAAAAAAAAAAAAAAAAAAAATCCCCG